TGTTTATGGGAGAGGAGGCCCTGCAGAGCTGCACCATAGGGTCAAAGAAAGGAGGCATGAGTGTAGATGGAGGTGGCATGGGAGAGGCCGAGGGGTGCGCAAGGCTTTGGAGGCAACGTGAGGGTAGGGCCCAGGGCGAGAATGCCAAGGACCTTGTGCTCAGGGAGGTGCAGGAGGGGCGTCGGCTGGTGAGGGAAGAGTGTCTGTGTGAAGCTTTTGGCCAGGCGAGTGCTGAGGAACTGAATGGGCGGCAGACTTCCAGAAATGCAGACGGAGGAGATGGAGCAGTAATAATGACTTGGACATAGAGGAGGAAAAAATAGCTCAGGGACGAAGAGGATGCCAAGGTTTCTGCCTTGAGAGGCTCTTGGGGATCTGAGGTGAGGATGCAGGGATGGAGGCACGAGCTCTGAAGGAAAAGGGCAGGTAGTAGTGGGGAGAGGAAGGGAGCCTGGAACTGAGAGCTCCATGGACACCAGCCAGGGGGTTGGCACAGAGCTGAGGCTCCCGTCGCTGGGAAGATAGGCAAGCGGGCATTCTGGGAATTGAAGAGGCATCCATTACAAAACGTAAGGAGTAGCCTCAAGGGGATCTGTAGGGTCAGCAGGACAGGAACGTGGACCAGTAGCTACCATGCAGAACTCAGTTTTTCTCTCTTACAGTGGGTCTAATAATCCCAGTCCTCCCTACCTGAGACTATTCTTTCATTCATTGGATTAGCTGCTCATTGAACATGTATTTCTTGGCCATCTCTTATGCTCAAGCACAGTTCTAAGTTCTGGAGCAGCTCCTTACACCCGAGAGATGAGTGAAGAGCAAGACATCAAATTTAAAGATATTACTGTGGCTTGTGAAATCAGAGTGTTGAGGCTTGGGGTTTTGCAAGGGGAACAATACAAGACACATTTTATAAGATTATTTTATAATTTCCCAAAGAATCATATACAAGGAGTGCAGGAAATCTGTCCATACACTAAAGACCAAAGAATCCACCTGAGGGCCTGGATCCTAATGTTCTGCATGAGTCCAGCTAAAAAGCTAGCTCTTGCAACAATGCCTCCCACAAGTCCAATTGGAGACTTAGAGCCCACAGCGAAGTCTCATGCAGGCCTATTTCATGGATCCGCACTGGGAAGGCCCAAGGTCAGTGCTGAAGCTAGAAAGTCTGTGCCAGTGGATGAAGGCTCTGTGCCAGCAGGTTGAGGGGTCCGACTGGAGCCAGGAAGCAATGCCCAAGGTAAGTGTCAGAGTTCTCCTCAAATGTACCGCAGCCCTCAGCAGCAGTGAAGTCTCAAGCTCCTCCAGTGATAAGGAAAGCTGAGTTCCCCTCAGTAAAGCCAACACAAATTTCTCCATGAGGCTGAGCAGTGCACCATCCTCCCCTCCAGAGCCAGGAAGCGATGCTCAAGATGTGGACCAGCGCTCCCCCAAAGTGAACCGCAGCCATTCTCAGCGACAACAAGGTCCTGAGGTCCTCCAACAAGAAAAGCCAAGTTCATCCAGAAAGCCAGCAGGACAAGGTCACCCAGCAGAACAGCCCAAGAGAGCCACCAGCTTCCAGCAGTTTCAACAGCTTCTCCAAGCAGCTTCCCTAACAGCTTCTAAACAGCTACTCCATTCTGCCTCTTCTTCTTCCTCTTTCTCTTCCTCCTCCTCCTTCCTCTTATTCATGTGTTTGGTACAGGGTCTCACTATGCAGCTCAGACTCATAGTGATCCTCCTGTTTCCAGCCTTCCCAGCGCTGGAATTACAGGTCTGTGCCACCACACCTAGTCTTGGTGGCCAGCTCAGTATGCCTGGGAGCAGGGCCAGCATGGCATGTGATGCCAGGGATTGAACCCTGGTCCCTGCACTTACCTAAGCAGATGCTTAGTCTACTGAGCTATCTCACTGGCCCCAGTTCTGCCTCTTATGCTTCTGGCAGCAATTCTCAAGTGTGCCTTCCACGCCCAGTACCGTGCAAGCTCAGTTCAGCTGGGTGTAACAAGTTGACCACCAGTAAAAAACCCACTACAGAGAGTAAATTTTATAAATGATTGCATGAGATTTGTGTAGTCTTAACATCTCTACAGAAACAACAAAGACTAGAACAAAAGAGTCCCACATTCTAAAAATATGGACAAGACACCTCACTAAAGGCAGAAGAGGTTCAACACTACCAACTGACACCCCTTGGTTCCAGATTACAGAAGAAAAGGAGAAAGGTGGCTGAGGTAGAGAATGTTTAAGTCAGTAGATAGGGCTGAGACTTCCCCTGAGGGTACTTTTCTTTCTTTTTTTTTTTTTTTAATTTTTTTATTATTATTATTTTTTTAATGTGTGTGTGGCCAGCCCAGCCCACCAGGGGGCGGGGCTGGCTGGCTTGCGGTGGCACTGGGGGATTGAACCGTGGCCCCGCCGAGCCTGCTCCAAGTAGGTGCCTCAGACCACCGAGCCATCTCACCAGCCCCAATGGAATAAGGATTTTTTTTTTTTTTCTTCCTCGAATGGCTTCAGGGCACTTTTGGCCAGCGGGAGAGTTGTGAGGTTCGAACTCCAGCAACCTGAGGCTGAGAGCTTTGTGGAAGCAGCCACTTAAAGGCCTGAGCTAGGGTCATGCCCCCCCCTGAGGGTACTTTTCAACACAAACAAGTGAAGAGGACCTGGAGAGGCCAATCCCCTTCAAGAAGAGCTGGCCTGACTTGTTCTGGTTGAATCTTCAGTGTCCCCCAGAGTCTCATGTGTGGAAAGTTTGGTCCTCAGCTGATGATGCTGTTAGAGGGGGTGTGTGAAATGTAGTGGTGGAGGCCTAGCGGGAGGAAGGGAGGTCGTTGGGTGGGCATGCCTTGGAAGGAGATGGTGGGCTCGCAGCCTATTCTGTCTTCTGAGCTTTCTACATGCCATAAAGCAAAAAGCTTAGCTTCATCACAACTCCTTACCCTGAATCTCAGCATAGGCCCAGAGCAATGAGACCAAGGAACCATGGACTGAAACTTGTGACACTGTGAGCCCAAGTGAATTTCTCCTCCTTTGAAGTTAGCTCAAGTATTTTGTCACAGCAATGGAAACTGAATGACATAACTCATATAGCAGACCTTCTGTAGATGCTAGAGGAGCTGTTGGCAGTTGCAGGTACTCCACTGTAAAAAGCACAGCCAGAAGTTCTTGGATGAACCTAACATGTCTTTAGTGACTGAGGCTGTTCACAGAGACATGCACTTCCTGCCCGGAGAACTGACGGGCTGGAGTGGCCTTGTGGCCGGCTGAGGAGGGGCTGTCTCTTCAGTGCCTTGCCTGGCATGGACTGGAACGTCTCCTGTAGGTAAGATATGCAAACCTTCAAGAGCCAGACCAGAGAGTGCTTTGGCAGGGCAATGCAGAGGGGAAGGCCCGCAGGACCCAGACATGTGTCCACGGGAGTCTGTGCTTGGCACTTGTCCGCCAAGGACGCCTGCTCTGCAAGACTTTGCTACTTTTTCTCTGATACTTCTTGCCCAACCTTGACACAGAGGAGACACGAAAGGAAAAACAGAAACAGACCTTACCTCACTCTCCCCTATGGAGTCTCCAGCTAGAAGGCAGCCTGTGGGGGGAGCGGAGGAGAATTAAATTGGATGTGATACTGATTAAACTGTATGAGGTCCTGACTTAAATAGCAGTCTGTGCAATGCCTGAAAGTTGGCATTAATCATAAAAATGAAGGTGTTCTTGTGTCTGGTAGAGGTGGGCAAGCCAAGGACGCTGCCGGAAATGTCAGTGTGGAAAGGAAAGGGAAATTTAATAGAGTATGGTTGAAGGCTTAAGTGGAAAAAACATGCTTCTTCTTGAATAAGAACACCCATTCAAATGACCAGTTTCACAAAGAAATAATGAGATCACTTAAACTGCTCCTTGCAGTGATGGATAAAGTAGGGTATGTGAGAAAGTGAAAACTTGGAGTGGGAGAGGAGGTCTACGCTGGGCTGCGCTCAGGCCAGCCGGAGCTGCCTTTCACCCACGAGGTGAGGCGGTGATCCAGGTAGAGGGAGCACAACAGCAGAAGGGCCAGTGTAGCTTCGGGGACAAGCGTGGAGCCAGAGAGGGGTCTCAGCGCAGAGGCTCTGTGGCCGACGCCGAGGGCTGAGGCTTTCCGCCCACACTAGGTGGCATCTGTGGCTGCTTTGTATACGCAGAAGTAGTAAGCAGGGTCTCCTTCCTGCTCTTTCTCGCTGCCTCCCTAGGAAGCAGCAGGATGTGCAAATGCGTTCTGGGCTGCCCTACAGGCCCGGTCCTTTAGGGGTGGGGCCAGGGCACTGATGAAAGCCACCATCACCTGATTACACTCGGATGACAGGTCGTTGGCTCGGGAGCCCCACCCGCTGGGGCACACACCGGATTAGTGGTCTCGCAGAGCCCCTCTCTCAGCAGGTTCCCGGGGAATGGGCCCAGGTGGCGTCCAAGGAGCTACGTGTGAGCGAGCTAGCAAGGGGCCGGAGGCCTGGGTTCCACCTCCTCCTCTGGCACGGCTGCCTCCCTGGGTGACCTTATCCCAGAGGCCCCGTGGAGAGGAAGACCCCTTTCCCAGCAGCCGCTGTTCCCCAGGCCGAGGCCGGCCGGATCTGGACGCCACCGGCGGGAGCCGAGGTCCGCGGAGCGCGGGGTGCGGAGGGCGCGCGGCGCCGTGAGGGGGCGCCTCTCCCGGGCCTTGCACCCCGCGTCCGCGCGCTGCCCAGCGCCTCCGGCCCCCGCAGGGGGCGGCAAAGGGCCGGGGCTCCGAGCTCGAACCCGTCCGGGTCCCTCGGGGGTCCGCGCCTCTTCTGGCCGCCCTCAAGAGCGCGAGGCTGCCTCGGTGGCCTCGACTCCGGATCCGAGAGGCGGGGCGGGCGGCGGCCGCGCGACAGGTGGGCTGCCCGAGCTCGCGGGCGGGGACGCCGGCGGCCGCAGCTCCTCACGGGTTAACCCCGCTCGCCGCCGCCGGTCCCCGCGCCAAGTGGGTGTAGCTGGAATTCCGCTCCCTGCGCGTATCGAGGGGCCGAGCTGTCCCTCCGAGGAGGGGCGCGGTGTGGATAAAAGAGTCGGAAGCACGCTGGAGGTTTCCAAAAATAAAACGCGCTGCTCCCCTCGGCGGCGTGCTGGAGCCCAGCGCAGAGGGGGCGGCTCGGGCGCAGACCCCGCGCCGGGACGTTCGCCGAGGAGCCATGAGGCCGCCGGCCGCTGCGGGCCGCCCGGGGACCCCCTGCAGGGTCCTCCTGCCGCTGGCGCTGGCTCTCCTAGTGGACGCGGGGCAAGCGCAGAGGAGCCCGGCCAGCAGATACGAGCTGGCTGCGGGGGACGCGAGCCGGCCGTGGCGCCCCGCGGGCAGTCGCCCCGCAGCGCCCAAGGTGTACAGTCTGTTCCGGGAGCCGGACCCACCCGGCCCGGGCTCGCCGCCCGCCGAGCGGACCCAGCCGGCCTGGGGCAGCGCCTGGAGGCCCGCCGAGGCGGAGGCCGGGCGGCCACTCCGCGCGCAGCAGCCGCGTCGAGCCCAGCCACCTGCGCAGACTCGAAGGAGCGGCGCCCCGAGCCCCCCGCAGCCCGCGCCCCGGGCCGGGACCTCGCAGCGGCCGGGGGCTGCACCGCGAGGGCGGCTCACGGGGTGAGCGCGGGAGAGGGAGGCGCGGGGAGGGGGCCCCTGCCAGCTCGGGGCGCCTTTCGCGGAGCGGTGCACGGGAGAGGCGAGGGTGCGCACTCCTGCCCTTCGGCTGCGTCTTCAGCAGCGCCGGGAAAGAGCTGCCAGAGGCAAAGATCAACTTATTCACCCTTTCATAGCTCACCCCAAACCCCAACGTCGGGCCATCCTCGAGGCGCCCACGCCCCTCCCGCATCCCAAGAAACAGCTTTCACCCGCGCTCGCTGCGCTGTGGGGACTCAAGAGGACCCGGGGAGGGGACAGATGAGTGGGTGCTGGGCGTCCCTGGGGAGGTTGGTAAGCTCAGCGTGGGTGTGGGACGGGGTGGGGGTTCCGGCACCCATGATGGACGCTCCTCCGCGTGGGGGCACCTGCGACTCCGGTGCGCAGGCAAGAGTACGGACAGGGGCTCGGTTGGCCTGGGCTTGCAGCCAGCCAGGTGTAGGCATAGACTAAGGCTTCGGTGGCCCTTGGGGCAGGAAATCTGCTCGAATTGGCTGTGGAAAACTGGGTCTGTGTGCGCGCATCTAAGTATCATTGGCTCGCTTTGCTGGGCTAAGCTTCCCTCCAGCTCTGCGGTGTTCTGTCTCTGGTGTTAGTTTCTTCGTCTCCCTCCTTCCCTCCTCTCCTTCTTTTTTCAGTTGAATGCAGGGATTGAACAGGGTCTTTGCCCTGAGCTACATCGCTATCCCTTATTTACTGATTTTGAGACAGGATTCTTTGCTGTCACTAAATTGCCCACAGTGGTTTTGACCTTGTGATTCTCCTGCCTCAGCTTCCCAGAATGCTGGGATCACAGGTCTGCACTACCATACCCAGCTCAACTCTTCACCCCAACCACCCTCAGCCTCTTAGAGGGCTGTTACATCCTGAGCTGCCTGCCCCTCTGAAACTCCCATCCGGAGTATAATGGGTGCAGAGTGCCGGGGACACCCCTTGCTTGGATGTGACAGGTGCTTTCACAACAAGGACACTGGAGCCACCGGCGGTGAGAGGCTGAGTCAGGCCATAGGGAACTCTAGGAAGGGCTCTGCCAGCCCTTCTTGGCCTGGGCTGGTTTCCAGTTGGGCTCAGTCCCTGGGAACAGCATGGCACCTGCTGACCCCACATCTGCTCTAGGACTTGGTCCTGCTTATGTTTAGGCTCTGGCTTCCCCCAACTCACGTAAATTCTGTGAAGGCCAGGACATTGTTTGCTCTTTCTGTGTCCCAGTGCCTAGCACAGTGTCGGTACAGAGCTGCCGTTCCCTAAGGAGCTGTTGAAAGGGTGAATGAATTCCACGCTCCAGGGCTTGGCTGCCAAGTCATGCCCACGCAGGCTTATTCAACAAGTATTAATGGAGCACCTGCTGTGTTTCAGGGTTTTTTCCCTGACCTGAGCAAGCAAGTGAATACTTGCTTCCTAAAAGCGTGCATGCTGAGCACAGGAAAGAAGAGGAGGCTTTATCCTGCTGCGACAGCAACCCAATTACTTAAAATCAAGCTGGAGAAATGAACAGAAACGTGACTGTACTTTCTAGCGCTGGAAATGCAAAAGCATGGGACAGAGTGGCTGAAGACCTCAGAGGAGGGTGTAGCTCTATGGCCTGGTTTCGGTGGGTAGCAGATGGCCAGAGCAGGGGTGAGAAGCAAGGGGGCAGGCAGGCGCGACACTCCTCAAGCACCAGCCCGTCACTCTGGTGCTGGCCAAGGCGTTCATAGGTCGTGGGATCCCAGGCACCTCAGGCAGCCATTTCTTGGCAGCAGGGAAGGGGACAAGTGCCGGTGCTCCCCTTGACTTCCTCAGCCCTTATGGGCTGCTCAGAGCCAAGGGCGAAGCGCCACCTACTGGTGGAGGCTGGAACTATATCTCTACCGCAGGGATTCTTCAACAAATAACTGCGTACAGTATTTGTGGAAGCTTTCCTATATGCCAAACACTATGCTGGATCCTGGGATGTGGCAGTGGTTAAGACAGACAGATGACAGACAGACAGACAGACAGACAGACAGACAGACAGACAGACAGACAGACCGACCGACCGACCGACCGACCGACCGACCGACAGACCGACAGACCGACAGACCGACCGACAGACAGACAGCCGGCCTCTGTCCTTTGTGACTTTCCAATGTGGTAGACTGTGAAGGTTTATTATTATTTTTTTAGTTATGCTGCAAGAATGGTGCTAGGTGCCTTACAGCATCGCGGTGATCAGAGCAGGCACCACTCCCACACTTGTCCATTGTTGCCAGGGGACTTGTAGACTCGCTGTTTTGTGGTCTTCAGTGTTTCTGAGCCAGTCTCATACCACTTTCAGAATATTTCCCCTCTGCCTTTTCCCTCTTGTTCTATTACTTCAATTTTTTTTTTTTTGAACTGGGGATTTAAATCAGGGCCTTGCAGTTGCCAGGGAAGCGTTTATTCCACTGAGCCATCTCCCCGGCCCCCCCTTTTTAACTTTTTTTTTATTATTTTCTTTAATATGCTGTTAAAAGAATAGTATTTTGTTTCATATCATTTTAAAGTACATTAGGAAGCTTTACAGGCATACAAAATGGTACTGGAAATAACAGAGCTCCCAAACCCACAGATCTAAAAATTTTGGTGTATTTTGCTTCTAAGTGTTTTAGTTGAAATTTCTTTTTTTTATGAGCAGAATATATTTATTGAGAGAAAGAAAGCTCCTGTCCAAGAGAAGAACAGGAGGAGGGCCTGAGCAGGTAGTTCCCCCATTTAGTTGAAATTTCTATAAATTTATGTCTCCCTAGAGCTAACCACTTCTTCAGATTTCTGGCGATGTGTACTTTTATGCCATCACCACAGATTCGTGCATCTGTAAACTACACAATGTTTTGGTATATTTTAAACTTAGATGAGTTTAAGGTCTCACGTTGTAGAGCGTATAGGGGGAATTGGAGAATTCCTTCTACAATTTATTTTTCCCCTCATTAGATTTTTGAGATTTAACAACGTTTATATAATTAGTCCAAGTTTATTTATTTTAACTGTTGTGTATTGCTTCTTTGTCTAAAAGTATCAGTTTGTTTATCTGCCATCCTGTTTTTGGACATTATTATGAGCTACATGTTTTTGCTGTTACAAACAGTGTTTGACTCACTTTTCTACATAAATAAATTCATAATTAAAAGGAAACTTTGTATCATTATCGTAAGTTGAAAGTAGCACTATTTGTCCAAAAGAGAAGGTAACTGCAGGAAAATTGAAATGAAAACAAAATGTTCTTCACTTCTAGTCAGACACTATTCATTATCTTAGGAACTCTCCCTCTGGAGAAGAGGTGCTGGGCTGTGTCCAGGGGAGGACCCAGCTGGGCACACAGCCACTGAAGGAGATTTGTCCCCTGCCCTGATCAGGTTAGCGTCACCACAGGGCAGGGAATCACCTTCTCTCTATGTGACTCTGCCTTGCTGAATATTGTGTTCACGTGGCCGAAAATCCCCCTTCCTAGGCTCAGCGCTGTTCATTCTGGGTTGGGGGGGGGGGGCGCACAGAAGTATTTGGTCTTCTTAATACTGCGCTAAGCACACAAAGGAAGCAAGAAAGAGCCATCAGGATACCCAAGGCAGAGACAGGGCAGCCACGCAGGGAAGAGGAAAGCTGGAAAGATGGCAGTGAGAGACTTATGCAAAACAGGTGGTGCCTGGCCTGGAAGTCTGGTGAGCTGGGGGGCACATTCCAGGCCGGGTGTGTGTCCTGAACTGAGGCCTCCACGGGGCACATCTGTGGAGACATGGGACAAGCGTGGTGGAGCACAGCTGTGCTGTGGATGGTCCGAGGGGAAGGGCAATAGAGGCCATTTGATTTCACAGGCTGGTGGCAGCCAGGCTGGCTTTGTAGAGGCAAAGGAGAGCCATGGGGGGTTGGCATCAAAGGGCCAGCAGGACCAGATTTGTCCTAGATGGAGTTGTCCCCAGTGGGGTTGCCAGACATGTAGCTAATGTTTGCTGACTGGTGTCACCTGGAAGATGGTTCTCCTGTGATCTCCGAGTGCTGTGAAAGCTGGCATCCAGAGAGCCCAAGCCAGGGGGCTGGAGGGCCCTGCTAGCCAGGCTCCTGTGCTCTCTGTGCTGGCCAGAACATGCAGGATGGCTGCTCCCCACTGCCCTCCTTGCTGGGCACATACCCAAGACATTCATGTCAGCCGGGTGGGGACACTGAGGGGCCTTCACTGGGTTCCTACAACTCTTGAATGTCCCCCCACCCCAGCCTGGTGCCTAAGCCTGGAAGCCTTTGATTCTGGCGAGCTCTTGCCATATTCCTGATATTCCTCAGGACACCACGATGGGCAGGGAAGCTCAGCCTGGCCTCTGGCCTCCTACAGCCAGCCACAAAGCTCTCCCAGGGGTATTTGGAGTTTTTCAGGCTGGGCTCCAGGCTGTGACCTCCCAAGCTAAGCAGGCTTCTTGGTCCACGGTGTTCGGGGTACCTCAGGCCCCAGCTTAGGAGAATCTCAGTGTGCAGGCTGCTTCCTGCAGACTTCTCCGCTCCCCATGAGGAGGAAGCTTCCACTTCCAAAGAGGTGAGCTCTTTTCCCCTCCCCCAGGACGTACTTGCAGAACACTGAGTGTGAGATTCAGCCCTCCCCTGGGGCCTGGTGGCTTGAGCCACCCCAGGAGGACTCTATGGAGCCAGGAAGGGGCAGAGCCCTTAGCTAATGGTACTAGTGGTACATTCTGGGAGCTCCCTGGGAAGCAGCTCCCCACAACTTTGGGCCAAAGGGCCAGGAATGGGCTGCAGCTTTTGCAAGCTGCAGGAATTTATTTTGAATTCTTTGTAAGGCTCTCAAAACCACACAAGCTTTGGGGTCCACTCAAATGTCAAACAATCTAAGTGGGACCAGATGCTTGCCATCCTGGCCACAGAGATCCCAGGCATGGCCACCCGCCCTGTCCCCTGGCCTCTGTGTGTCTCCCTCCCCGCCACCGCTGGTTCCAGTGAGCACTGAGTGGGCACACTGAGCTCACTGTCATGGCCCTGGAAGCCAGAGCCAGCCTGGCCTGGGCGGAGGAGGCAGGCCCAAGGAGTTGTCTGCAGGCAGGGCTCTTCTGGGGAGTCACTCTGGCCTTGGCATTTCAGCCTGCAGATGGAGAGCCGTGGGCGGGCAACACAGGTATTGCTGCTGTGCCCACCAGACCTGAGGGCAAGATTCTGGCAAGGGGGGTGAGTGCCCTTCCCTGGGCCAAATGCCATTGTCTCATGTGCAAGAGACAGCACCAGAGTCACTAGGGAAGGCCCCCGCCCCCTCAGTGCATTCCATTCGCCTTCCCTAGTGGAAAGCGTGCTTGCACCGAGTGCTTGCCCCCCGCAACACAGCCTGGAGCACTGCTCCTGCGGCCTCCCGCTCAGGCCCACAGAGAAGACCGTGGGCCCTCGCAGGGCACATTTGATGCAGGCAACACGTCTGTGTGTCCTGAAGGCTGCTCATCTGGACAGCTTCTCTGGCAGGACAAGAAGTGTGGCACTTGTTTTCCTTCCATGGGGCAGTGCAGGGTTGGAGCCTGGCTTGGAGTTGGGCTAACTCAGGTTGAAATCAGGTTCTGGCTTTTAACAGTTATGTAGCTTTGGCCAATGGCTGAATCTCTTGGACCTTGCTGAGCATCTTTATGGTCCCAGCTGACATCTTTGCATGAGGTGCTAAGCATTTCTATCCTGTTTAACCATGGCAGTCACCCAGGTAGACAGGTGCTGTCATTTCCATGGTAGAGGTGAGAAGGGGAGGTTTCTGGGGGCACAATGTGAGGAGCGCGGTGAGGTCCCAGTTAGAGCTGCATGACCCCCAGCCTAATTCCTGGCAGCCTCCCTGTGGCATTCGGACCACCTTTCAGCACAGCAGTGTTCTCACAGGCTGCACCTGGAGGAGCCAGATCTACCGAAGGAGTCTAGAAATAGTCTTGGTTCTGGGCACTCTCATGTTGACCTGGTTCTGTTAACTTCACAGGAGGAATGTTTGCGGGGGACAGTGTTGCCCAGGATGGACCACAGCGAACAGCACCAACCACTGTATCAAACGTGAGTTCTCCTACCCAACCTGCCCCTGTTTCCCTAGGGGCTAGGACAGGCCAAAATAGTCTGCCCCAGCCTGCCTCCTGAGGTGCAGTCTGTCCCCAGGCAGAGGCCATATGCAGTGCAGAGAGGAAATTCGACAATGCCTCCAACTGGATGCAGCGTCTCAGAGCAAAGCTCGGCTCGTGTCTGACAGCTCCCTGCCTTCCCTCCCTACTTTCCCTCCCCTGTGTTAGTCCAGCTTGCCCCACTTGCAGGGTCCTGTGGGGGCCACACAGGCTCACAGTCCACACCCTGGCCCCAGGGCCTGGATGTCCCATGCCTCCAAGGCCATCGTTCATGTTGTGTGCTACAGGATTGCACCTGTGCCCTGGCCCTGGGCCTGAAGGTTTGGCCTCTGTCACATACTCCCCTGTGCTGAGATGAGGCTCTGATACTGTGTTTGGACCAGGCTGGGATTGGATACACTGAAGCCCAAAATGTTGGCTCAAAGGGGAGGGAAGAGAGTTGTCCTCTTAGGTGGAGACCAAGGAATGAGGCGGGAGGAGTCATGACCTCCATGCCTGGCAGAGATGAAAGGTCTCGTGCATGGTGTGGCAGGCAGTGACAACAGTGACAGGAGGCAGTGCCCCTGTGTAGTGTGCACCTTCTGCACCCTCTTGGGCAGGCACGGAGAGGTCACGTGCTCAAGGCCCATGGCAGGGCAAGGGCGCAGCTGGAATTTGAGCTCCTTTTATATCATACCCTGCTGCTGGGCATCTCACCTTTTCTTTCTGAACCCCGATTCTTCACCTATGAATTGGGGGTGGCAGTGCCCCGCTGCTGCTAGCTGGCACCGCGCATGTGCCGTTACCCAGCACTGCGGGGCTCTTCACATGCTTTGTTCCAGTTAACGCTCTAGTGACCCTCCATCAGTAACCCACTGATCAGCCCTCTCGCTGCCCAGGGCCAGGGCTCTGGGTGCTTAGGACACGTGGCCAATGACGCGCTGCTGCAGTGCCGGGCTGGACCCAGACCCCCACACTCCCATCCGGAGGACTTTGTCCCACCCAACACCTCGAGGCTGGACGGTGATCCCTCGGTGATCCTAGAGCCCCAGGATCTTACCTCTTCGCACCCCAGGAACCCCTGTGGGTCCCTGTCAGCATCCCAGGAGCTCTGCCTGACTGTCCTCTTGCTGTCACCAGGGCCTCTCCAGGGTCTGGCCTGGCTGAGAAGTGGCAGTCTCCTGGGCTTCTCTTCCTCCAGAGGGAGATCTGGGCTTTTCTCTCAGCTGACAAGATGCTTGCTGCTCTCAGCTTGCAGCACCTGCTCTCCTGTTTCTGGAGGGCAGTGTGATGAGCGCGTGATCGGGGCGAGCTGGGCCCAGCAAGCCCAGTCTTGTGGTCTGACCCTGTGCCGGTGTACGTGTAGTGCAGGCAGGCTTGCAGGGTGCTCCAAAGGCCTCTGGGACAAAAGGCCAAGCCCCCAAAGCAAGAACAAATGGGAACCTGAACCAGTGGGGACTTTCAGGGGACAGGTCCTCTCTGACTGTAGGCAGGGTGGGGGGACGCATGTCTCTCTGCCTCTTTCTTTTTTTGTACTGAGGATTATATTGGGGTGTTTTTGTACCAAGAGCTACATCCCCAGCTCTTTATTTTTTTATTTTTTTATTTTTTTGGCAGAACTGGGGATTGAACTCAGATCCTTGTGCTTGCCAGTCAAGCGCATATCCTACTGAGCCATCTCCCTGGCCCTCCCAGCTCTTTAATTAATTAATTAATTAATTTTTTTTTTGGTCAGAACTGGGGATTGAACTCAGGCCCTTGCACTTGCCAGGGAAGCGCTTATTCTACTGAGCCATCTCCCCAACCCCTCTTTAACTAATTAATTAATTTAATTTTTACTTTATCTTTAATTAAGTTATTTTAATTTTGAGGAAGGAACTTGCTAAGTTGCTAAGTTTCAAAGGCTGAGCAGCAATGAGAAGAAAGATTTGTACTAATAGTGTTTGGACAGGATATCATGTCTACATCTTGTACTGTGAATAACCACTATGAGGACAACAATATGCAATGAATTATTGAAGCCATCCTACTAATCAGTTTTGAAACTGTCTCACTGCTGTTTCTCAATAAAATTAATAAGAAAAAGAGAAATACTAAAAAAAAGCTCAGTAGAATAAGTGCTTCCTTGGCAAGCGTGAGGTCTGAGTTCAATCCCCGGTTCCGCCAGAAAAAGGCTGGTCAGAGCTTGTGACTCTCCTGTCTCAGTGTTCCACAGTGCCAGGCTTACAGGTGTGTGACACCACCCCCAGCTTTCCTCATGCTTTTAAAGGTGAAGAAAGTGAGGTTTACCAAAGGTCACACAGTTCATGAAAGGGAAATCTGAGACAAAATCAGGCTGGGCCAGTGTGGTGGGCAGAGAAGCCCGTTAAGAGGGCAGCCAGGAGGCTTTCCGCCAGCCAGCTGTGTTGAAAGCGCTCTAGTGGATTCCTTAGCTGTGGCTGAAGACCACTGAAGGAGTTGAGGTTCACTGTGGGAAGATCCACTTTGGGGTCTACTCATGTCGGAATGCTCCCAGAAGCCTCAGGATCCTGCTGCAGCAGGTCTGGAGTGGGGCTGCAGAGCCTGTGATTCGCAGAAGCTCCTACAGGGACCTCATGCTGCTGGGCTTTGAGAAGCAAGACCTTGGGCCAGTGGAGGCCTCAGCAGGGAGTCTGGAGTTGAAGGCAGGGAGAAGGTTGGTGGAGACTCTAGAGAGTTCGGCCTTTGCAGGGAGGCTTTGGCTGGTGGAGACTGTGCCTGAGGTTTGAGTTGGTCGGAGCAGGAGGTTTTACAAGGGTAGGTTTCCCAGCTGCCCCAGGGGCCTGGGCCTGGCCATAGCGGCCCCCCAGGCCTGGAGGCGCTCGCTTTCCTCATTTGCTTGAGATTTTCCAACATTGCTCTCTGTCAAACTGTAATTTCAACACTGCAAAGTCAAGGTTGGGTGCGTCTGGAGATTGTCATAAAGCCAGCCTTGTATGCACCCTCAGGCCCCAGCGGGGTGTGACTCCAGGACGCCTCAGAGCCCCGCTCGCTCCCCAGCCCTCTCACGCTGCTGCCCCCTGGTGCCATCTCGACTGGGGTGTACAGGCTGGCAGTTCTTCTGAAGGGCACTGCCAGGGCACCAGCTTTTCCTACTGAAGCCAGCCCTCTGAAGGGCTGTGTGCTAATTAGCTGATCCCTGTGATGTTTGTTCATTGCCATTTTGCTGCTAATGAGCCTAATGAGAACCACGTGGGCGGTGGGGTGTTGGCCCTGGATGGTGGGGTCCAGTGCTCTGTAGAACGCGGGGCTCTTGGCTCCACACCCTGACAGCTGGCTCTTGCACTTTCTCCAGGGGCTGCACATCTTCCCTTCCCCCTCCACAGCTGCCCTTCTGGTTGGGAATGTGGGGGTGCCTTCCTATCTGGCCTCCCAGTGCCTGTGGGCCCAACATCCTGCCCCAGTGCAAGAATGCTTTCCCCCTGCCCCATCCCTGGCCCTCGGGGAGCTGCTGCATCTGCAGGTGCCCCTTGTAGAGTCCCCATCTCCACCCTCCACTTTGGCAGGTCTGGAGCTGGGCCAGTGTCTCCTCCCCTGGTCTTGCTATCTGTCTTGCTCTGTGTGGCCTGGCCAGCTCTCCCTCATGATTTATGTGTTTATGTATTTGTAGAAGCAGCTGGCTGGGGCCTGCCTGCCCACTGAGCTGAGGGGAAAGACTGTGGGGTGCAGGGGGACAGTGTCCACCATGATTATAGCTGCTGCTGCTTCCCCCCGAGAATGGCTCATCTTGATCTCCACCCCAACTAGGAAAGGGGATGTGAGGGTTCCCCAGCCTTCTCATTTTTTCTTAGCCCGAATGCACAGGGTGGAGTTCCCTGGAAGGGGGCAGAACAGGGTCCCTGCAGCTGTCATGGGGGCCTCTCTCCAGCTCCCCACCCAAGCAGCTTGGCTCCAGTTAAGAGCATGTGCTTTGGATTCTGGCATGAGATCTGGAGAGAAGAGCTTGAATCCCAGCCCTGTATCCTTGGGCAAGTGACCGGCTCTCTTTCAGCCGTGGAACCTTGGTGATAAGACAGGTGTGACAAGCTCTACAGCGCTGTCTCTGAGGATAACAACGCTAATACTCTGTAGTTCTTACAGTGTGCCGGGTACTATTCTAAGCTCTCTATAATTCTTTAATCTTTACGGTGACACTATGGCTAGATTAGATTTCTCCCCATGTGCAAGTGACACTGCCCGGTTGTCCACGCCAGGCAGCAGTGGGGGAGGAGTGTGAGTCCGGGCTCTTGCCTGCTCCTGGCTGGCTGACAGGGGTGTGCAGCCAGGCACGCGGCTGGCTGAGTGTGGGGAGGTCACTCTGGGGAAATGGGAAATGGTGTTGACTGCCTGGGTTTAAGTATCAGCCTCGCCTCTTAGTGGCTCTGTGAGTACAGGCAGGTTGTGTTCCTCTTCTGTGACTAAGGACCACCCCCGCCCCCTAAAGCTCTCAGGAACAATGGAGGTTACTTAGGTCAACTGCTCAGTTCCAAGCCTGGTTTGTATGTGCTCTTCACAGGCTTAGCCATGATTCTGAGGGCAGGGACTGTGTCTTACTGTCCCCTAGCCTGCAGGTGCAGGGGAGAGGTTCGCTCAGAAGAGGCTGAATGTGACCAGGCTTGGGGGCACACGCCTAGAATCCTTGCGATCTGGAAGGCTGGGACATGAAGATCACAAATTCAAACCCAGCTGGGCAACTTAGTGACTTGGTGAAACTCTTGTTTCAAAATGAAAAATTGAAAGGGGGGAAGGGATGTGGTTGAGTGGGAAGGCCCTGGGTTCCACGCTAGGCCCTCTAGATAAGCAAGCAAGCCAAGGACTGGACAGGACAGGCCTCCTTTCCCAGCAGAGGTCCCTTATGCTGCCCAGGGGTTATGCACCCTGCTAGACGCTGCCAGCCGGGCTCAGAGGCTCACGCCTGCTCGGTCCAGAGCTTTCTCTTGTGGTGGCCGCTGGAACTGGGCC